ATCTTCAGCTATGAGCTCAGTCATGCATGAGATATGGATCAGTATCACTCCCTGGCACCTGCTGCTTGGAGAACTCGGCTTCCTCGCCTGAGCTGTGGTGAGAAATAAAGATGACATATTTAGAAAGGGCTTAGAAAGGACTCCAGACATGGAGCAGCTCATTAGATGGGGTGACAGCCTTGTGTGAATTCATTCTTTCTCTACAAGACTTTTTGGTTCTTCTAGGTGCACCACAATCTCCCTTGCTCCTGATTTCCAGGAGTCTCAGATACTACAGGTGCTGTCAGGAGGCAGTTTGTCAGTTCAGGCCAGGACGAGCAACTGTCAATGTCCATATAGAGCCAAGGTTGGTGAAACGTCCCTACAGGCAGATTTTTAGGGCCATGGACTTATCAAATATCTATTGGGGCTAACATGATGACTCAACTGGCTAATCCACCACCTTCAAGGGTAAGCATCCCATACAGGAACCTGTTTGTGTCTCTGCTGCTCCACTTCTCATCCAACTCCCCGCTTGTGGCCTGGAAAAGCTGCCAAGGATGACTCAGAGCCTTGGGATCCTGCACCTGTGTAGGAGACCCAGCAGAAGCTCCCAGTTTCTGACTTAAAATTGGCTCAGCTCCAGCTGCTGTGGTCATTTGGGGAGTGAACCAGCAGATGGAAGATCTTTCTCTGTCTCTCCTTCTCTCTGTAAATCTGCCTTTCCAATAAAAATATATAAACCACCAAACATCTCCTGGGAAGACAAATCACCAACTCCTAAAAGAACCAGCTATCTACTGGCAAACAATTCTTGCTGCAAAGGTCTTGCTATTTAACTTAAGGACCTCCAGCTGCCACCAAATTTGTCCTTCCTGACACAACAAAATTCTATTTGCTGTTTAAAAACCAGCACTATTTCTGAGTAACCAGTATAAAAATAAGCTATAGATAGATAGATAGATAGATAGATAGATAGATAGATAGATAGATAGACAGATATTCATTGGAGAACATGGGCAACATGGGATGCGTACCAGAACCCCATCAACCATTTTCTTCTACCTAGAGGTAGAGTTTAAAGTCTTAGAGGTAGAGTTTAAAGTCTTCTGTATATTTTACTTGTAACATTCAAAATTCTTTTAACTGATACATTAAACAATTCTACATATTTATGGAGTACCATGTAATATTGTATACATTGCATAATCAAGAGAAATTTCTCAAGCATTTTAAAACACTGCAGCTAGTTTCACTGCATCTCTGTGCAGTGATCTATTGAACCTGCAAGAGCCTTCACAGGTGTTACTGATTTACTTGCAACTTGTAATGTGAAAGCAAACACAACTGAGATCTAGGAAAATTTGTTGGACAAATTAACACTGCAGTCCATTTCATGCTCAAAAAATGCAATGATGGTTGCCTAATTGTATTCTCTTACTTTGCAAGCGCTATTTGGCAGGATTCTGCATATTACTGAACATTTTTAGATTTGAGGGAAACATTAAAATTTCATGTGGTTGTTTTCCTGTTACAAAAATAATACACACTCCTATCTAACACTTGGAAAGATAAAAACTTCAACAGGAATTCAGGGTTGATATTTACTGTGCATGGACTGTATGCCAGGCTCTATTCTAAATGGTCTGTGTAGGTTAACTCATTTACTCTTCCCAACATCCCACTGAAGCACAGAGATTAAATAACTCGCTCATAGTCTACACACCTTCAAGTAGGAGCCAAGAATCCATCGCAATGCTGTGGAGTTCCAGGAGTCGAAGGAATCAATAATTTATTCAACCCAGTCCCCCACTGCTTCAGAGCATAATGTCATAGACAAGAAACAATTCTTAATAAAACTGTACTCTTTATACTTAGGGAAAATTATCATAAACCATCCTCTCCATGTCCCTGCAGAACAATTAGTAAAATTAGAAGTCATCTGCAGCATGAGCTAAGATCCTGGCTCTGTCCAATTCTTTGCACCTGATGTGCATTAAGGAAAGACAAACATAGTCAAAATTTAGAAGTGTTTATTTCAAAGATGGAAGCATTTAAAAAATTTTTCAAATGTGAGTATGCCTCACTGATGTGATGAGTCCCAAAATTAACTCGGCATTCATTCCCACAAAAGCTTGAAAAAACAAAACCACAGTCAGTTCTGACACTTCTGAGGGTTTGGATGTTGGCCTTCGACATCAATACACGCAAAAGCAAGTAACCGGATACCCGACAGGTCACATTTTGCATGCTTTAATTAAACATTATAGTTGGTTAAAGACAAATACTTTTTTGCTCTTGGTTTCATTTCCAATCCAATGCTAATAAACACAACTATATGAAATATAAATTCTCTTTCTGAGATAATTAACGCAGCATTTTAGGCTGCCTGCCTCTGACAACACTGTGCAACCGTGACGTCAGCACCGAAGACACACTAAGACCCAGTCCTCCAGTCACGCTCATCTCTACTGCTGCGGTAGAAACATCACACACAAACCTGCAACTCCTCTGCAATTTAAAACTGCTCTATCCAACCATTTCCAGAAGGCTCAAAGCACCATCTTAAAGTGCATCCCAAAGCCCGCTGCTCAAAAGGCTATATAAATAAAACGTGGGTAATTATGTGGGGGTAATTCTGAACCTCTGTTGTGGATTTGGTCCGGTCCGCGCGTCTCCCAAGGACTGTTTCATATACTTTCACAAACATTGCAAAGACCACTAGAAACCCAATGCTATCAATCAGACTGAAAGGTGACATGACTAGAATTCTCATCCAAGTCTGACATGGAAACCCACTCCAGAACTACTGTTCAGCTTCATTTCCAAGTTACAGCTCAGAAAATATACACCTGACTTCTACAACTTACCCACCAAGGTTACATTTAAGCTGACATAAACCTAAAATAATTAAAACCCAAACCAACAACAAAAATAGTCACCTAATAAATATCCAACAGTGAGTGATATCATTCTAAATTAGACATCTTTTTCTTGCTAGAGAATCAACATTTAAACCTAACTTGGTATTAACTTATCATTTCCTCGAACCTTGTGATTAAGAAGCCCTGTGCTCCAGCCACTTGAAGACCCACCCATGTCGTCTAACAAGTACCAAAACCACAGGTGGAACTGTTACAGAGCTAGTCTTTCCAACAAGATTGGAGCTTTCTGAACAGAAAACATTTGCAACACTGATTTCTTCCATCTCTCGGTCAACAAGTTCTCATTTTTATCTCTCTCTGCGTCAATCTAAAGCCATCTATGCCTTACGGACAGCTATTACATGACTTGAGCCAAATAACACTGCATCATGGATCAGGTCTGAATGCCCATTACATTGATCCACATTTTCTGGTCTTAACTGAGGGCTTTAGGTGGAGGGCAGAACTCAACCTCCGGCCCGGAAAGTCCTTTTGGTCACTGAAGTCTTCAGAAAACGTTCGGTCACTCAAAAACAAATTATGTGTATGTGTATCACATGTTTTGCTTATTGTTAAAGGCGTCTGATAAAACATGCCATTTGGTTTAAAAATAAAAAACCTACCTTACTCTAATGGATTATCTTGTCAATAGTCAAAGGCAGTCCCTTCACAGGGAAGCTGCCTAGCTGGTTCTCCTAGGTGAGCCCCCTCCCACCTTGCAGCCCCCACCTTGCAGATTGGCAGCGGTACGTTTGGGGACCAGCAGTTTATAAATCAAACAAAACTCTAGTTTAAAACAGAAAACACACAGACGTCTCCCAAGATTCATTATAGACAATCTATTCGGGCAAAGCTACAACCGCCCCAGGAAATATAAACAGTGTCCGCAGAGACAGCAGGGGGAAAGGAAATAACTGACAGGGAGGAAGCTAATCATGTGAAGTTGATCCAACTCCACAAGGTCTAATAAGCCCCCCGGCTGCTTTCCACTGGGAACAGCCATCCAGTGTGCCCCGGTGCGGGGGCGCAAAGCCCCTTCGTCAGGCTGTGGGTTTGGGTCGGCTCCACCCTCCTCTAGTCACTGCTTTGCAGGTGACCGTGACGTGAAGGGCCTCTCCGGTCCCCTTCCTTGGATTTCCAGTCGTCCAAAGTTTCGCCCCCACGCGAGGGAGGTTAACGAAAACCATGGCTTCCTTTTCCCAAGTTACGGTTTAAGTTTGCAGAATTCAGAAGAGCCAAGCCAGTATCAGCGGACGCTTGGTGACAACGTTTTCAAACAAGCTTTAATTGATAGGCCCCGATTAAAACGAAAAGAAAAACAATCCTAAGTCACCCCTACCCACAGTATTAGTGTTCCAGAAATACCTTAAAATAAAACAAAAAGCCACGCCACACTCCAGTGGCAGCCTCGACCTCTCCGCTAAATCCCACCTGCAAGCACAGGCTGCGGAGGAGCAGGCTCCGGGTTTGCGGGGTGTGTCCCGGTGGTTCTCCCCCGCGCGACCCGTTACTTGCCCGCCAGGCTCCCCGAGTGCCGCGAGGCCGCCCGCTCGTCCCCAGAGAACCACGGAAAGTAGGGAAAGAGGGGCGTGGCGTCCCCGTCGTCCGCCGGCCGCCCGCCTGCCCTCCTCCAAACCCGGGCACCCAAGGATTGCGAACAGTGGACTGGAGAGACCTCCCACCAGGCGCGGGGCTCAAGACCGAGGACCAGAGAGAGAGAGAGAGAGAGAGAGAGAGAGAGAGCAGACGCGCGAGGGGAAACTTCGCCTCCAGCTCCGGCTCGCAACCCGGAGCCGTGTCCCTGGCCCGAGCCCTCGGCCCTGGCGTCCCGCGCCCTCCGGTGACCGCCCGTCGGGGGCGCGCGCCCCGTCTCAGGCTCCGGATCCCGGCGTTCCTCACCTTCCCTCCTCCACCCCTTTCAGCGCCCAGTTCCCCGACAGTCCCCGCCCTCTGGGACACTCTTCCTCCCTCCTCCCTCCTTTCTTCCTTCCTTTCCTCCCTCCATCTCGCTTCCCGGCACCCGGGGCGCGAAGGCGGCCGCCGCCCCACGCTGCGCCCCTCGTGCCGGCGGGGACCCGGTTCCCCGAGCGCGCGCACCCGTCGCCTGGAGCTCACTCGCCTGCCACTGCGCTGCCCCCACCGCCGCCGCTGCCACCGGGGACTCGGTCTCTAAGGGTTCTTGGAGACGGCTCCGACCTCTCCTCCTCCTCCTCTTCCACCTCCTCCTCCTCCCGCTCCTCAGGCGCCGGCTCCGCCTTGCTCGGGTAGGCGGGGCGGGCAGTCCGACGGGCGGGGCGGCGCGGCCCGGACTTCTTCCTCCGCCGCGGGCCCTCCTCCGGCCCAGACGCCCCAGCCGCTCCACGCGGCAGCGCCCCGGCCCCGGCGAGCCTTCGCCGACCGAAGGGACGACGGATTGAGAGTCGGCGGGGCTCTGCCCAGGCCTGGCCGCCTTTGGCCTTCGTCCCTTCCGTGAATTCTCGCGGCGGACTGGAGTTCGGGACTCGTGGGTTCCCAGCCCAGTCCCACTGGCCTCTCAGTTCCCTTCGCGTGCGAGCGCCTCGCCAGCCCTATGCCAGCCGTCCCCTGGGCCGCGAAGATGAGCGCTGCCAAACCCCTGCACAGAGTTAGGCTCTGCTCCAGAAATTTCCAAGGGAAACAGTGTCGGTAACATTTAAAGAGCCCTGTGGCCGCGGAGAGATTTCGTTTTCCAAAAAGTGGAGGTAAAAGCAGATCATTACACTTGGTGTGCGTTTGACCCATTCATTGCCCCTTTTCCTCAGCTTGCCGTGAAATTTGTTTTCCAGTGTCCAGAACTTGGCAGAGTAATGATTTCATTGGGTTTGGTCTTTCTCTTCTAGATGGATTCTGGGTTAGGTAGGTTGGAGAGCCGCTTTCGGGCTGTGTGCCTGGCCAGGTGCTAAAGCAAAGGATGGAAATAAAAATCAGACAGGGGGCTTATTCTCAATGGAAATAGCCGTTAGCAGATTTCTGGAGTATCCCCAGCTGCTTTGTTGCTTGACGAGATGGAGATAAAAGCAAAGGTGAGGCCAGAGTAGGTCCCTTAGAACCACTGGGAGTGGTGGCCATATTTGAAGTGGAGTCTGTGTCGAGGTTTGCCAACTGTGGAGAAGGGGCTTCCAGACATCTGTGCATCACCCACGTGTCAGCCTCAGAGATATCATTTGGGCAGGATGCAAAAAGGAGCCCAGTAGAGGGAGTGTGTGTTTGGGTGCCTTGCCCTGCTAGTGTGGGCTTAGCAACCTGTGGGTGGCAGCGGTTGCCGCCCTGCGAGCCACAGCCTGCCCAAGAAGTCCTTCACTTCCTGCTCTGTAGGACATTAGGAAACATCTGATTCACAGACACAATTCAAAGGATGCATCATAAGCAACATAGCCTGAAACCAACAGACTTGTTGTACATGGTTTGTACCTGTCTGCCACAGATATTTGATTTGACTCCTATAGCCATTACCACTGATTTCCCTTTATGGGGCACTTTATAGTTTATTAGAGGCTTTCATGCACTTATTCTTTCCTTCTCGCATTCATCTCTTGCAAAAACCTGGGAATGAAGGCACCAAGAACATAAAGTAGCTTGCTGAGGGCTTTCCGATTCAGTGCTGTTCAAGGTGTGCTCTGTTGGACAATTAGTCTGGGAACTGGTATCTACTTGCCATGAGATGAGCAGAAAAATGGCAGTGAGCGTGTACAGACCTTTACAGCAATCTGACACAGTAATTCTTTGCCTGTTGAGCCTAATGATTAAAAATGTGGCCATGGATTTTGTATGTCTGGTCTTATTTTATTATCTTTGTTATCCACTTTATCAGGTTTTTATAAGGCATCAGCTTGCAACAGATTGAAAATAAAATAACCTCCCGTGGTTTGAAAAGCACTGATCAAGTTAGTAGCACAGCAGGAATAACCAGAGCCAATCTTTAACTGACACTTCCTACATGACATATGTTGCTTTAAGAACTTCACATATATTCACTCTTCTAATCCTGCTACCAGCAGCCAGGATGCAAACCAGAGGATTTGGCCCCACACTCTGCTTTACCAATGACCCTGAGGCCAGTATTCTATCAACTCTACTGAAAATTCCCAAACTTCAGTGACTCACATTCCATCTTCATATCACTGGACTTCCTACTTTTTGTTTGTATTCTTGACTGTCTCCAATTCTTTCGCTGCTAATTAGAGCAACTCCAGGGTGGTCTACAGTGTCTGCAGATGTCAAGGAACTTGCTTGCAACCACTTTTTAAATTTTTTTTAGGATTTACTTATTTTATTGGAAAGACCAAATTACAGAGTGAGAAGAAGAGAAAGAGATCTTCCAAAGGTTCACATTAGCCAGGGCTGGACCACATGAAGCCAGGAACTTCATCTACGTCTCCCACATGGATGGCGGGGGCCCAAACACTTGGGCCATCTTTCATTGCTTTTTCTAGGCCATTAACATGGAACTGGATTGGAGTGGACCAGTAGGGAATTGAACAAGTACCTAAATGGGATGCTTATGACAGGTGGTAGTTTAACTCCTCGACTACAACACCAGCCCCTACTGGCACATTTTTCCTAGGCTTTCTTACTTTTCCTGGTTCTACTTCCCATTCCTCTACCAACCTTTCCCAGGTAATTGAGTCCTATAACTAACTGGTTTTCTGGAACCCAAGGTAGAATTAAAAGCTTAATCAGTGATTAAGAATTTCAGAATAACAGTAATAGAGTATTAAGCATAGGGTTGCATTTGCACAGATGTATCTTTAGCTAGCACATTGATGTAGCTGCTCTGGACTCTAATAGATTCTGTTCCCTGGAAGCCCCATCTAAGGGTCTATTTTTGGAGAATCCCAAGATAAAATAATAACTGTTGGAGTGGCAGGTTTACCCAGTACTCCTCAGCCAGTTGTGACTTGCTGATGGTTAGTATGCCACAATTTGGGAAGTTTACCTTGTAGCTGAGTTAAACTCAGTTGGGCATATAGAGCTTTAGCTTCAGAAAAATATGTATTATTTGGGAACAGTTTGGATTGAGATGATGGGTCAGGAAACATGGGTTTAAGTTCTAATTCTGCCACTTAGTGATATGCACAAGCTTGGGTGCTTACATTGGTTCCCTGGAATCATATCACTCATGAAAAAGGCTTATAGGTGAGTGATTGAAGACACACCTGTAAGGAGAACTCCCAGAATCAGGAGTTCTTAAAGGTCTGATGAGGCAATAGCCTGATTGGGGTAGAATCAGTCCAGATGGAGTCCAGGCTGTTGGGTCTTTGTACCTGTGTATCCTACCTGACTAGGAAATGGTTGAAATTTGTAAACCTGTTCCCTAGGGCAATGACCAGTGATGGACACAGCTGGGAGTGTTCAGGGACCTTATTCAGAGCTGCTCTGAATAGATGTGTCAGCCTTCCAAGGGGCATTTGCAAGAAGCTCCACAATTTTCATTATAGGCAGATAATCTCTGAGATCTCCATTAGGCTTACAGTTGATCATAAAAGGAATACTCAGCCTAATCCAGGAAGATATGGTCTCAGCTTCCATGTGCATGGGGACAGTTATTGGGTGTGCTTTACCTCCTGATACTATAAGCCTATTTAATTTCCTTTTTTTGGGGGGGGGTTAAGATTTATTTACTTATTCAAAAGGCTGAGTGTGCTTGAGAGAGGTCTTCCATTTGTTGGGTAACTCCGCAAATGATTACAATAACCAGACTGGGCCAGGCTGAAGCCAGGAGTCCATAACGCCATGCACATCTTCTGCATGGCTGCGGTGGATGGAAACAGGGCCTTAGATAATTGGACCATCATCTGAAACTTTCTCAGGCAAATGAACAGGAAGTCAAATTAGAAGCAGAGTAGCTAGAACTAAAGTGGCATCCCAAGCATCAGCTTAATATTATGTGCCACAAAACCTACTCTAAAAATGCTTCTGTTTTTCTTTCTCCAGACCTTTTATGTAGCAGGGTTTTTAAAACATTTATTTATTTTTACTGGAATGTCAGATTTACAGAGAGAAGGAGACACAGAGGGAAAGATCTTCCATCCACCAGGATGCTCCCCAAAGGGCTGCAATGTCCAAGCTGCTTCTGGGTCTCCCATGCGGATGCAGGGTCCCAGCCTTTCTGTCACTCTTCTTTGTAGACGTTGTGTTGGAGGGCCCAAATTGAAAATTGAGTGTGAAGGACTATGTCTCTGGACTTTTTGAAACTTCTTTTGATATATGGACAGTCAAAATGAACAGTTTGCCCATAGAACAGTGGCAGTAGAGAAAAATTCATTCACAAGAGGTCTTTGGTAATGAATCCTGGCTTAGCCACCCACAAGCTGTATGAATTTGAGATAATTATTTAGTCTTCCTAGGTTTCTGTCTGCCATCTTCAACATAAAGGAATTGTAGAATAGTCTCTGAAGTCCTAATTCTATGGAACTTACATTTGATAAAAATACGGCTTTCTGTAGTCTGTAAACTGTTACGAATCAGGCATAAGAGATGTTTTTATAAGTGAAGACAGCCCACTTTTAAAATTAACTTATACATGCCTCTACTGTCAACTTATGCTCAGTGATCAATAACAACACTGTAAGTAATGGGTAGTTAATGCATCAAAAGGAGATGAGGAATGATAAGAAAATAATAAGGCATATCACTTGGTCTCTGGGTGACCAGCTCTTCATAGACTTCAGAAAAGTTTTATGGGCATCAGCTTTACTCCCTGGCAATCGTATTTGTCCTGTTGCACGTGGTCACACTCTGTCTGAACCTGCCCCAGAAGTTACAGAGAGCCACATCCTTTTGAGGAGGTTTTTCTGGAGAAGTGTCTCACAAACTGGTTTTTCTGCTCAGTCAGAGGCTGCCATATTCCTATAGAGAAGTTAGGTCTGGGAGAAGCACCCACAGTGTCGGAAATCCCCAAGTGACCTGTTGAGACATGTATTGCAACAGGTAGGAACTGTGACCAAAATTGTGCCTATAGATCAGAAAGAAATTTAACACAGTGCCATCCTACAGTGGATGGAAACCTGAGTTGGAGGACAGAAGCATTGACTCTTCTTGATGACCATTTTAGAGCTTTTTACTTTATTGCTGATGGGCCCCCTAGCTCTGCACAGTAGAAGAGATCAAACATAGCTCAAAAGTTGGTAAACTTCCCATCATTAAAGAGTTCAACCACGGATCTATGAGGAGATGGAGGTGTAGAGAATT